CAGTGTCACTCCAGAAATGCACTTGTCTCCTGCAAATGATTCGATTAGAAAGCTAAGAACTGAGATGGCTTGAGTTCAGAAATCATCTCTGCCATCTCACACCCCAGCTCCTTCCTCCCTCTCCCCATCCCACAGGAAATCTTATTAAAATGAACAAAGCCCCTGTGTATCACAGTGTAAGGAGATCCTTGGTGCTGTAGCCATGTCACATCCTCACCTAATTGAGAGACGGGGGTCTTTTCCATGGGGCCGTGAAAACCTTGAGGCTAGCCCATGTTGCCCTGCCCCACTTTGATACATGACGCCTAACACCTCATGCCTGGCTGAGGTTAAAAATCCTTCCATCTCTTCCACTTGTGCCCCTGGCATGATCTGTCTACCATCTACTTCCTTGTTCTTTGTAACATCTGCCAAAATGGCACTGAGGTACCAGGGAGCGTGGGCCATTAATGGACAGAAAAGCAGGGTGGTTAGGTTATGGCCCCTTTGAAAATTCAAGCGGGACAAGGGTGCCCCTAGAAATCTTGCTCACATGCCAAGCTCAGTCCTTCAGGGTCCTTTTCATCCCATTTCAGTGATGGACATGTTATTCTGCAATGATGGATGCTGCTTGGTATATGTAGCACATAGGTGGACCCTTTTGGCAAAAGATGGCTAATCCATGGAGCCTTGTGACTATGGCTCTATCTCCTTTTTTTTTCTTGTGGCATTTGCTGGCTCTGTTCTCCCACAGCCTCATGGTAGGGCACGGGGTGGGGGTCCCAGGCTGCGGGGACAGCACTGGACCATCCCATTTGCCAGCCGGGGACCGGGCTTAATTTGTTCAAAAACCAAGTGCATACAAACACTAATGCGATGCTCCAAAGCTTAATTTGTTCAAAAACCTAGTGCGTGCAAACACGAATGCGACTCTCCACAATAAACAGGTTTAAATTTTACAAACCTATTTAATTTAATGAAGAGTAAGGCCTGTGGTGTGTACAGGTGCCCTGTGGCAGCTTTTTCAGCTTCCATGTAGATTCAGACTGGTTCGGGGGTGATATGGATACCCATTCATCACTAGTTCTAGGAAAGCAGACACGCATTGCTCATAGACCTGTATTGCAGGGTAACAACATCTGGGCACTGGAAGTCCTACACTGTCCTGGCTATTACTAAGCTCTCTAGGCACTTCCTGCCTTCTCTAAGATATCAGGCTTCAGGAGACTGGATTTTCACTGCTTTGCTTGTCCTTCCCTGCAAGCTGGAGCTTTCCATGCTGAGAGGAAGTAGTGCTTCCTGATGACCATTTCTGAGTCCGATAAATTGCAAATGGAAAGGTGCTTTGGAAAATGAATGCCACAGCTGTTCTCTCCGTCAGTAGGAGTGAACAGTTTGCAAGCAGTGCCCATTAGGCTTCCTGCAACCCTCTCTATTCTCTGCTCTTTGAATAATTTATCTGCAGGAAATCCAAATTGCCAAGGCACCAGCAGAATGCTTGCCAATTTCCCTGGGAAAACTGACAAAAAAAAAAAACCCCCAGAAAAAGGAGGGGGGAAAAAAAGCTCTAGATTTTCATTTCAGCTGAACACAGCCTCCTAGCAATCAAACATATTAGTTCTATTGTGCAGCGTGCATTGGAAGGCATTAGCTAGCTAGCTCAGAGCACAGCACATTTGAAAGGCTCATAAATGTAATGAAGTCCTTTTTGACACCTGCTCCTCTCCACACTTTAAATGTGAGCCATTGGTCCATGGGGAACCAGAGCTTTAAAAATAGAAATTATAGTAATTGTCTTCTGTGTTATTGGGAAGATCGTAATAAATGTGGAGCGTAACACTATGGCACCATAAGACTATTGCTGACAGGATGCATAAATTACTCGGGGTTTTGATTTTTTTCCAACCCCCCGTAACAAAAAACCCCGTAAATCATTATATGTTAGTGCTGTGTTTCCAAGGGCTGGGAAGGGGAGAGCCACTCGGGGAAATTTCATCGTGCTGATTTGAGGCATTCTCTTTATAGGTAGCACTCCAGCTTTGTCATCTGTCTGTTTTTAGTGGGTGGGGGGAAGTAAAACCCTTACTATGAAAAATAGCAGTGCAAATCCAGTTTCATGCCTTATGAATTCTTATGGAAAAGAACTCCCCTTCCCTCCCCCACATCCCCCTGCCCTTTAAAAAAAAAATAGAGGTGTGCTTTAGGATACAAGCAGAATTCAAGTAGACATTTAGAGCCGTGCATTTAAATACAGCCTCTCCTGCTCCTCATTGAAGAACAGATCACATGGTTGTAAGCTGGCACTGGCACTGGGCTGTATTCCAGCGAGGAGCCAGCATGCTTTGTTTTCATTATACACTCTGCTAGCAGAGCAACAGAGAAGGGAAGCAGCACCGTGCGGATTGTGATGGTGCGTTCCCCAGCTGCACTCCCCAGTCCTGTTCCCTTTTTAACATTTTAGGGAACTAATGCTGGGGCTCCTTGTGCCCCTCCCATGTTAGTTTTTTTTTTTGTTTTGTTCTGTTTTGATCCCCCTCGGTTTCTTATGTTGAAGACGCTCATCATGCAACGTGCCAGCGGGACTTGGTTGGGAATGCTTAGTCAGGGACATTTTGTGCTGAAAAGGATTTGCCCTTATTGTGACAGATCTGGTTGGGATTGGGTTTTTTTCCCTCTCCGAAGCAGACACGTAAGCACTAGCAGCCTTAGGGGAGGGCAAACCAGGCAACCGTCCAGGGCCCCACACTTTAGGGGGCCCCAAAATTTTGCTATAATTTTTTGGCAGGGTGAAGTTTTTGCAAGGAAGTGGCTGTATTTGCATTTTAACACTTGACTATTTATCTAATTGCCCCCCAAAGTATTACAAAGACCCATGATACAACTGTGGTAGGTTAATATTTACTGGAGTACATACCTCTAAGGGCCCCCAAATGACCTTCTTGCCTAGGGCCCCAATGACCCTAAGGCCACCACTGATGTAAGCTAATCATGGGGGTGCAATAGTCCCCTAGTGAAACCCTCCCTAAGAAAATGAATTGTTTTCTCCCTTACCTAGTGTTTTCCATCCTGCTTCCACCCACCACTTCAGTGAGGAAAAAATGTAATGGGGTAGGGAGAGTAGGGAGACATGTATTTCTGATCTTGTTGAGATGTACTGCCATATGGAGTCAGGTGTATGCTCAGCCTTTCGGTACTCATACCCCAGCTCCGGTGCGCAGCCAAGCGGGACGTGTTGCCACAGAAAGACCCTTTCCCACTCATCTCCCCTAAATGCATATTGCACTGCACCCTGAAACATGCACGGTGTTCCCCACCCAGAGCTAGGTGCCTTTTGGTCTTTTCATAATCGGGTTGTTGTGATGCTTAGTTACTGGCAGTAGCAGCCTTACGGGAGGGAAAAACAAGCAGCTGCCCAGGGCCCCACACTTTAGGGTGCCCCAAAATTTTGCAACAATTTTTTTTTGCGGGGAGGGTAAACGTTTTGCAAGGAAGCAGCTCTATTTGCATTTTAACACTCGACTATTTATCTAAGTCCCCCGAAGAATATTAAAACGATCCACGATACAAGTGGTGGGTTATAGGTCATCAAAATTAAGCCTCTAAGGGGCCCCGGATGACTCTTGCCCAGGGCCCCAACAACCCTAAGACCGCCACTGTTATTGGTGAGCACCTTGGAGTACCACATCGCCTTTATTCATTGTGTTTATTCCCTGCTGGGCAGAATATAACATCTGCAGTCTAACAGTTATTAAAATGCACCTTCCCATGTGTTAAACTTGGGCGGGGGGAAGCTGATGTAAAGAGCGCCACGTAGAAAGTTACCTGTCTGGTGCGCAAAGCCGGCTTTATGGCATGCGCAGATTTATGAACAATAAAACATACCCTATATTTACATGCTAATGGAGAGCACTCTGCCTATGCAAAGGCCCCGAACCTCAAAGGCATTTAGATCCCTACCTCCCCCTGCTCGGGCCTAATTCTGTTCATATATGCAGATGCTGCTTTTATTGTCTACAACTTTCATAACAGATGGAATCCATTAAATGCTACACAGAGCAATCTCCAGAGATTCTGGTTTTAGACAAATCAGCTCTCTGTCCTATTATCTTGCAGCGTGCTTGACCGCTGCCTGCACTCTGCCTGCAGTAACCAGCTTGATTGCCTGCTTCTCTTGCGAGCACCCTTTTTTGTGCTTCCTCCCACGGCGCCCCTTGTGCGCTAGGAAAAGCTTCCAGTCCAAATAGCGCCGGTTCTTCTCCCCCCTGCCAATCCTGGTTTGGAAGGCACGTTGGAGCAGCAGGAGGCTGCTGGCAGCTGGGCTGGTGGGGTGTTGGTGAAGCCATGTAGCTTTCCCGAGCCTAGCCATGCACTGGGCTAGGACTCGGGAGACTTGGCTTGTGTTCTTGGCTTCACCACTGACCTTCACCAAGTCCTTGGTCTTGTCTGTGCCTCTGTAATACCCTGTGTGATGCATTGGATGAAAGTGCTCTGTAGATGAGCGCGGTGTTGTTACACCTGCTCACCGGCACTAAAACATCCCGTTGTTTTTACTCCTCGCTCACCTTCCCCATTCACGTTTTAGTCTGACCCACCGCTTGTGTCTTGTCTTTGAGGAGGGAAGAAGTTGGTGCAGCACCAAAGTGTTTGACAAAAGAGCTCAGCCACATTGTCAATCCTCCGGAGGAAGTTTTGGCCTCATTGAAACCAATAGGAATTTTAGGACTGATGTCAAGAAGGCCTGAATGTCGACCTTTCCATCTCTAAAGCATGAGAAAGGCTATGTTCTCATTAAGCCTTCATGTCATAAAAAGGAAGCTCTGAAAAGCCATCCCATGAAAATCAACCTGGTGTGGCCTGATTTTAAAACAATACCGCAATGTGGATCATTCTTAAAAAGAAACCGTGGTAGCCTTCCTGGCTCCCTAAACCCAGGTTGCTTAAGTTGAGCAACTTGTTTTTTTTCCCAGCGCCCCGTTTTCCTGGAGACTTCTTAATGCCGATCTTTTGTTGTTTGCTTCCAGATGAGTTTAGAAAATGACGATAAGAGAGCGCGCACACGGTCGAAATCTATCCGAGGTGAGCAGCTTGTCATTCGTCTTCAGGCCCAGCATCTCATTCTTCCAAGCCACGACCACGGCTCCCCTTCTCCTGCCGCCGCCCGTTCCTGGCCGCGAGATCAGTGCACAGCTACAAAAAGATCAGCCCCAACCACAAACGCTTGCAGCCCCACATCGTATTTTATTCCCACCCCCGCCCAACACAGAAAACCCCCCTTGCATGCTTCATTTTATAGGCATCAGAAAAGTGATAGCCTCAGATCAGCTCCAAAGGCTTTCATCATGTATGCTCTGCTAGAGGCTTTGAAGTTGTACATCTGAGAATGCCTGGCAGAGTGAGTGCCTGCTGCAGAAGCAAACAGGCCTGTCTCTCAGCAGGGACGGGAGGACAAATGACTAGTTAATTCAAAGCTTGATTGCTATTTATTTTCCATCTTTAAAAAAAACAACAACTTATATTTCATCCTCTAGCTGCCTCTTCTCTGTACAAGAAAGGGGCTGTAATACACAGCGCATGGTGTTAGCCCATATACCATCGCTACCTTGAATAGCGATTACAGATCATGGGTTGTGGGTTTTTTTTTCTTTCCCCCCCCCTCCACCCTATTTTCTTTCTCCCTCGTTGGTGTCTGTGGATCTGATGCATTTTAAAGGTCATTGAAAGGGAGGAATTAATAGGACTAGCTGAAGTGTAGTGCGATGTGAGCAGGTATTATGCAACTTCATCCACGCAGCTGTGCCACCGGGCTTCACTTTGTCCTGACCTCTACCACGCTCCTTGTCCTTGTACTCATTTACATCTCTTACAAAAAAAATACAGCTACAGTCAACTAATGCCGAATGATGCCAGAAGATGTGGGTGGTGAGGATTTTTTTTCCCCTTTTAAAATTTTTTTTTGCATTTTGTTTTGTTTTTGTCGTCTCTATAATGCCCCTCAGGACTATAATCAGACCAGCCTGATTCTACTTATTTTCTCACTTGCAAGCTGCCTTAACGGCATTTAAATCCAGGTCTCCTGATGTGAAAAGGTAATTTATTGAATACACCACGCTCCTCACGATTGCCTCCAGTTTGTTGAAGTTGTGAGTCATTCCATTGAGATCTGGTTCCCCAGAAACCCAATTAGCTCAAACAAATTGAGCAAACATGCGATGCCTTTTAGCCTGTGCAAACTTAGCATGTGCATTTCCCCCCCACCCCAATTGTTTAGATTCCTGGCTGGACACCAGTTTCCAGTTAAGAAACTAAAAATACTGTTCCATGTTATTACTATAGAATCACATTATTCAGATAGGAAAAATCATCCTGGAAAGCTGCAGAGCATCAACATCACAATTCAATTAGCCCACGAACTATTGTGCAGCTGAACACAGAGCATAGCTCCCTCGTGAGTACCGTCTGCTTAGAGGGGAGAAAAATAAGGGTATTTATGTTTGCACTAGGAGGGGGAAAACAGCGATTGGAGCAAAAGGGACTCCACGAGGAAACTGGAAGAATGCAAATTAGCCCATTTAAGCATAGGCAAGTTGCCCAAAATGAAGAAAACTCCATCATTGCTTTCCATACACGCAAACCTCAATCGTTGCTTTCCATACATGCATATTCAGGATCCAACTCTTGCGTCTGGATCCTGAACATGCATGTATGGAAAGCAATATAGCTCCACTGGTTTTTATATTGCTTAGCTGCATACATGCTTAGCTTGGACACGTTCGAAGTCGGGCACAGGCACGAGCATTTGCAGGCTCGGGGCAGCAGAGAGGGCGTGCTTGCCTATTTGCTGTAGATTTGCCTGTGTTACAGTCTGGGACAATGGGTGACTTGGCTTTGGAGTGGCTGGGGGATGTCGTATTGACTGCCTCGTGTTTTATTTCCCTTCCCGGCTCCTGCCTCGGCGCTCAGTGCCCACGGAACTCATCGGACAGGAGGTGAGGTAAGAAACGTTTCGTCTCAACCCCGTCACCTGGCGGCGGAGGACAGGGGAGGTGGCTCTTCCTAGAGGGAAGCACAAGTAATGGGAAGCCCTATGTTGGGGCAAACATATTATCAGGCTGGATTCTAAACCTGGCCTCTAGGCCCCTTTTCTGTCCATCGTGGACACAGGGAAAGGGAAGGAAACTGTACGGGACAGTAGCTGCGTTGCAGTCCCCTCCGGAGAGCTGTCACGCTCTCCTGCAGCCCCTGAAATCCCAACCAGCAGCACACGGCCTGCTTCCTCTCAGCTGCCCAGAATCGAGGGGGCCGAGCCCTCCAAAAGAAGGCTGCCCAAAGTGGTGTTGCCCATAAAAGCAGCATTGTCCATCATGTGTGCTCTTCCCCTGCTCCATTTGCTTCCCCTGCCTTGCCACTTCCCTCCTCCCTCCCTGTCCCTGTTCCTGGAGTTTGGCATAGAAATGAAGGGCTGGAAGGGGCTTTGCAAGATCAAGTCCAAGCTCCCCTGCACTGGGCAGAGACACTGCTGGGATCAAAGTGTCTGTCCAGTCTCCTTCTTGAAGACCTCCAGGGTTGGGCACTGCACCACCCCCTTGGGAAGTCCAGTCCAGATTCTGGTCTCCCTTACCATAAAGCAGCTCTTCCTTGCATCCCACCTGAAACCATCCTCTAACAGTTTATTGTCCTTCCTTGGGGTGCCTTGGTGAACATTTTTTCCTCCTACCTCCCAATATCCCCCCCTTGACATACTTCTAGACAGCCATCAAGTTCCCCCTCTGTCTTCTCCTCCCCAGGCTGAACAGTCCCAGATCCCTTAGCCTTTCATCATCAGGTTTGTCCTCCAGGCCCTTCATCATTCCTGCAGCCCTTACAGGGACGGCTTTAATGTGAGGTATCCCCCTTAGGTACAGGGTACAATTCTTGCAGATACAGTCCATGCCCTGCTCTTCGGCCTCTTAGACCTGGACTCCAAAGAGCCTCAGGACCTCCTGTGATCGCTCCCGTAAGGGGACTGGCCTGCTCCTTGCAGCCGCAGAAGGAACTGGGGCAAAGCTTCTCATTATCCACAACAGGCTCCTGGATTGCTAAGCTTTCTTTTCAACCCTACACACAGGGGCTTGTGCAAAAGGTAGGCTGCTTCAGCCTGGGTGTGTGCTAATGGCAGGGGCTGCATTTCCTCACGGTCTCTGCTGGAAAGCTTGCTGTGTCAAAGAGTAATTGGACCTGAACTCTGCCAATCCCATGGCGCCTCTGCCCCTCCGCTCTCCTATTACTCTTGAGAGAGCGGAGCAGAGAGCACTGGGCATTCCCTTTCTCCAACTTTTATTGCAGAACACTTGAGCGGAGGTGGTAATTGAAGCAGGTGACATATTTAAGGGGCAGCACAGAGTGCTCCACAAAAGCCATCTCTGCAGCTGTCACCTAATTGCCTGATTAACTGGACGATTAATCGACTAATTGGAAGCGGGGCACCGTCTGCATGACAATCAGAAGCCTTTTAGACAAGTATCGGAGCAGCGGAGAGAAAATGTGGCCATGAATATTGCATTAATAAACCATGAAAGCCGTCCATATATGCAGCCCCTGCCAAAATATTAGGCGCAACCATCCTGGAAAGTTTTGCAAACAGAAGTTTGAAGCTGAGATGCAATGAATAGATATTTTAGAAAGTGCTGGGGACTCCTCTGGACCCAGGACACTATTTAATCTCTCTTCGGCTATACGCCAACCAGGGAAGTATCCAGGATCCGTCCTTCCTTTAGACCCCCACCTTCTACCTTCTCCGCACCCTCTTTTTTAAACCACAGGTTGCAATTTTCCCCATTAAAAAGGGAATTGATTCAGCAAAGCTTAGAAATGGCTGTAACATCTTCATCAGAGCAGCTCTTGTTTTGTACTGAATAAGCCTTTTCTTTTCAGGCAAGTCACTACCAGCGTAAACACTGTTCTGCATCTCTGTGTGCAGTCACTTAAAGTGCGTCTGGGACTGCTCGGTACAGAGCAATCTCAGTCATGACTGAGAGCAATTAAAATTAAATAGACTTTAAGATCATCAGAAAAGGGAGAAGCGGGGGGAGATGCTCTTCCAATTATGTACGTTAGCGGGAAGAGATCTTTTTTATGTATGATCTTCAAGCCTCTCACTCAGATGCAGGCCCATTCATTCAGAGGAGGAATGCCTGGATAGGTGTGGTTTTGCCTGGAGAGCATGCACGTCACAAGAGCGAGGAAACTAAAGGGCATCCTCCCACTCGATCGCAGGAAGAAGTGGGTCTCCGTTTTGAAGCAGATCGTGAGCAGCAGGTTACGGCACGTGGTAATGCTGGGGGTTTAGCACCACAAGGCCGGCAGGAGAGACTGGTCCAAAGCCTCACAAGGGTTATTTAAGGCAGGAGGGGGTGAGTCTCTGGTTGCAACTTTTTTTTGCAGTCCCCTATACCAGTGGGGCAGTGTTGCACTCCCCCTGCACAAATATTTTAAAACCATATGGGGTTTCTAGTGAGGTCCAGCATGTCATGGGGTGCCTTAGACATGCATTAAAGGGATGGGACTAGAAGGGACCAGATAGACCAGAGAAGTCATCCAGCAGTCACAGCCTCTCAGCCTTCATTTTGCCAGACCTTTTATCTCCTCCCATGAGACAGGCTCTCTATTCCCTTGGGCACGCCGGTTACCCTTCTCAGCATCTGTTCTGGTTTGCATCTTTCTTGACCAGGTGCCTCGTGTGGTACGTAGCATCGTAGAGGAGGTATCACAAGCGTCTAAGAGTACGTCCCTGTCTTTAATGGAAGTACCCCATTTGATGTGTCCTAAGCCCGCGTTTGCTGTTTTCATGGCCATGTCAGATCAGCGTCTCAGTCATCCTATGATAGACTAGTACACTCGGGTCCTTTTCCTCCTCAGCCATTTGCAACGAATGAGCCCCTTTCTAACAGCAGAAAATCGTATTGGTCTCTAGGAACACGGCCTTGCGCTTTGTGCTATTGAATTTCATCCCGTTTCTATTACTCCGGTCCTCAAGGTCACCCTGCTCTTCCTGTCCCTCCTCCAAACTGACGATTGCTCTCATCAGCACACTCCTGACTTCTCGTGCCAAAGGTCACTGGGGAAAATTATTAAATAATATCATTCCCGAGACCGATTCTTTGAATTCACTAGCGACCTCCCTCTAACTCGTACTTCTCTCCTAACTTGGGGGTCTTCAAGAGGAGGCTGGACAGATATTTGGTTGGGGTGATATGACCCCGGCACCCGTTCCTGCCCGGGGCAGGGGGTTGGACCTGATGATCTGTTTAGGTCCCTTCCGACCTTAAGCTCTATAATACTATGATTTTCCTTCCAGCATTTGCCCACCTTATGTTTTTGGTAGCAAATCCTGCCTTCTCCATCTGAGCTGACGGTCTTCCACCTGGCACCAGATCAAACTCTTTACTGAAGTTCAGACCCATTGCATCTACTCCATTTTCTTGATCTAGAAAATACACGACCAAAGGAAGAGCCTGATATTTTACCTCCCTACAAGCAGACCTTCAATTTGATTCCTGTGCTGATCCATTGCAACAATGGGTTTTTTAATAGTTCTCCATGATGTAGCTCCTTCTCTCCCACCTAAACCTTGGAAGGCTAGGTAGAGAGCTACGGCAACCAGGGTCCTTTGCTGAGCCTGCATGTACAGGTGTTTATCCTGGGGACTGGCCTAATTATTTGTATTTCTGTGAATTTTACCCTTACACAAGGGAACATCACACCCCAGGAATGAAGTGCTGTGATGCTACAAGGTCATTAAAAGGCTTGAGTGGTACTCAGGGATGTTAAGAGAAGCCCAAAGCTAACACAACTACCTATTCTTCTGACTAGCAGCCAGTGCAGGGAGCTAGTGAACCCCTCCAACCTGCTCTAGCAGCATCCAACACAGGGTTTCCCAGGTCCGTGTCAGCCTGGATTTGTCAATAGAGCAGCCATTCATGGCAGCAAGAAACAGCATTTGTCTAACAAACCAGACAGTGAAAGAAAAAGCCACGTTTATATATATATATATATTTTTGCACTAGAAGGAAGAACTACTGAAGATTGGCAGTGGGAGGCAGAGTACAGTAGTTGTCTGGTTTTAAAAAAAGCTTGCTCTTACACATGCAAATCTTTAATTAAACATACTCATAAAACTATAATGAACCGTTCATTTAATTAAATGGGGTGAGTCATTTCATTAATTTTTAGCAAACTGCGAAGCCACCCTCCTGCCCTCCATGGTTGGAATTCAAAGGGAGGGGATGTACTATTTAAAGGAAATTATCTTCCCTTGTGCAGCGTTTGTTCCTTCTACGCAGATTCTTTTTAACTCTCCACCGTTTTACGCGCTTTTAATTAAAATTTGCTCTTGACGGTTGGTTGTTTCCCTCTCAAGCTGCCCAACCCCAGGCTGCAATGGCTCAGGACATATCCGGGGAAAGTATGCAAGGCACAGAAGGTAAGGTTTGTTCGGGAAGATTTCCAGCCTATGGACCCCAAATGCTAGCCATAGGAAGCTGTGCGTGACAACACAGGCCGACTGGATCCTGCTCCCTGTTGTAGTCAAGGAGAGGAGCAGAGCTTGGCCCTCACAAATCAGTCTCAAAAAAGCTTTGCCATCAGCCCAAGCCATGCAGAAAGGAAGAGACTGGGTTGCTTTATGGGAGCTTATTAATTCCTACACATACTTCATGCATGTGTACACGGGTGGGGGCATGAATAACAGTGTGTCAGCTTGGAGTCCATTCCCGTTTTAATAACTTTCCTCTGTGTATTGTACTGGAGAAATCTGGATGTAAGGTGCCTGTGGGTTATATATGCTGCAATGCCTGACCCTAAAGACCAGGTATAGATTTATAATGGGAAGCCATGAATGGTCTTAACTTGTAACAGTGTCCAGGGTAGGAGAAAGCAGGACTTGCATGAATTGCGAGGGCAGGTACAAGCAGCCATTGGGCTAAATGGCTTCATCTGGCCCGGTGAGCTTCCATTGACAGCGGAGCAAAAGCTGGTCAAGGTGGTAAGAGATGCTAAGGGAGTTGCTTCAGGGGAGAAGGATTACAGTGCAGAGATTGTAGGTCAGGTCTTCAGCTCAGTGCATGGAGCTAGGATGGGGGAAAGCACCCTTTCGTGTGCATTGCCTACATTTTGCATGATTTCTTGCCTTGCTTTGCTGATTAAAATGCCTGCATCTGAGAGCTTTGAGATCTGTTTCTCATGTTGCCACAGATATTCTTGTCTCTTTGCCCTTCCCGTAGTTTACAAAGCTGCCCTCTAGCAAAGAAGAGGAAACTTCAGGATGCCGAGGCCGAGCACTTGGTGTCCAAGAGGAAATCTCATCCCCTCAAACTGGCCCTCGACGAAGGCTACAATGTCGACAGCGATGGGAGCGAGGAGACGGAGGTGAAGGAAGAGTCTGGCACCGATGAATCAGAGGGGACTTTGGAGGAGGAAGAGGCAGAGACAACCGAACAGGAGGAGACCCATAGCCCTGAGCCAGCAGAAGGTGCTTTGTCATTATTGATTGCAGAGCTGTATTTTAACTGATGGATAAAGGGCAACCAGTGTTAATAATCAAGAGTTATAGCTGCTCTAAATTATGTACAGGATGGGTTCTGCAATTATGAGATTCAGCGGAAGAACAACAGGAAAGCGGGGTTTCATCTGAGAAGGGCGGTTCGCAGATTGTCTCCAGCATCTTCCAAAATGAGAGTGCTTTCATTAGTGGCACGTCACGGGGAGTGACCACGGAAAGCATAGCCAAGCATCTCCGTGCATAGCTCGGTTGGCAGCATGAGGGGAAGGCAGCCGAAAATTTTGGAGTGCTCCTTTGGAGTGCTTCATTGGCACAGGATTAGGCCCTTACACCCATATTCACTCATCTTCGGGCAGGAGCATGCACACAACCCAGGGCAGAACATCGGCTCTGGGATCCTAGCCTCTTTGCTCCCTGTGAATTGAGTTATGTATCTTGGGATCCTCTTTATGGAGAGAGTTCACACGAGGATCCCATGCGGGACTCTCTAGCACACAGCCATCCCTGCAGGCAACGTGCAAAATATGTGTAGCCGATGACTTTGGATGGTGCGGTGGGAGAAATAAGTATTGGATGGTGATGTTCATCTCATTGGTGGGAATACATTTAAAATAGAAATCCTACCCCCCCCCTTTTTTTTCTTTTTTTTACCTGCAGTTACCAAATGCATTAAATCACACTGTGCCAGGGGTGGAACAGCAAGAGTCTGGCTTCAATGAAGCTTACAGAAGACAGAGCTGTTTATATAATGTCCATCCTTTTTTTTTATCTTCCAGCAAAAAGCCCAGCAAAATCATCTCACTATGGACAAAATGCAGCTCCCAGTACATCTGGCCCCAGCAAGGCCAACTACAGCAGCTATCAAGAAATAATTGCCAACTCTCTCCTAAACCTAGGCCAAATAGCAGAAGAAACCCTTGCAATAGAAGGACAGCTGCCTGAACGGGACCTGCAGGTCTCCAAGCCTCCTGGGAATGTAGTTCACCTGGTCCGCGAAGGAGCAGGAGAGGAGGTGATGGAAGAGGAGTGTGACAAGGACATTATCATCCAGACGGAGGATGCGGAGGAGGTCATCGAGGTCACCAGCGAACGCAGCAGTGAGTTGTGCTCCGAGCATCGGGACGACGGCAACTGTGAGGAGTCCTGCCCGTTGCAAAAGGCCATGCAAGCAGAAGCAGAAGAGGATGACGATGAAGAGGAGGACGATGACGACGATGAGGAGGAAGAGGATGAGGATGAGGAGGATGAGGACGAGGAAGAGGAAGAGGAGGAGGAGATGGCGCCTGAAGTGATCTGCGAAGAAATGCCTCACACTTCTCAGGACTCCCAGAAAACCCACTGTGAAGGGCGGCTGAGCCCGAAGCCTGAGTACTCGGTCATCGTGGAGGTCAGGTCAGACGATGACAAAGACGACGATGCGCGCTCCCAGAAATCAGCGGTGACCGACGAGTCCGAAATGTATGACATGATGACCAGAGGGAACCTGGGGCTGCTGGAACAGGCCATCGCACTGAAGGCCGAGCAGGTGAAGATCGTGAGGGAGCCCAGCCGCTTGCCAGGAGAGCACGTGAAGCACTTCCAGGTGGATGAGAAACAAAGCAAATCTATGGATGCCATCCGAAAAAACTACTATGGCAAAGGTGGGGCATGTGAACGGCCTTCCATGCATCTCTCCCAGAAAGGACCTTTTCTGTGAAAGAGCTTCAGCTTTGAAACTGCTGAGTGTCCCAAGAAAATTGGATCCTGGGATTTTTCAGAGCCCAAAGAGGGGTTTTAGCCATACTGTTCTTATTAAGGTTGTGTTATATATGCATTTATCCATATATATATATATCATATATATTATCCATATATATATATATATATATGGATAAATTTATATATCATATGTGTATGTATTGCATTTATCTATCTATCTATCAAATTTATCCATATATATAATATGGATAGATATTTTGTATAGATAGATAGATAGATGCAATACACACACATATATAATACAAACAGGGCACCTCTACATGTTCATTAATGCACTTTTGCTACTGTACCTTAAGTTTAGTACCTCTAATATGAGGTACTACATAAAGGTGAATTAGGCTACCCTAATGTGCAGTAGCAAAAATGAATGCCTTTTTAGTGATGCTTAATACACAGTAGATTCATTCTACTATGTATTAGTGGGTTAGCACTGTCTTTGACGTGATGCTTTAATGCACAGTAGAATAGGCTACTGCACATTAAAGCTCATGTGTAAAACGCACCCACACACACATATCACAAGCTTAATAAGAATGGTGTGCCTAAATCCTCTCTGTCTAGAAATAGAGAGAGAGAGAGAGAGAGAGAGAGAGATTAATTAGTCTACAAGGTTCAAATCTACCCTGCCTTCTGCTTATTTATCTCAGCCAGAAATGTTGTGGCTGACCCTCTTAGTCAGCTTAAAACATCTCAGCCCATGTCTGAAGGAAGGGGAAGTATCCCATTGCATTGTTACCAAGAGCCAAGCTATACTAGGAAAGCTATTCTAGTAATCCTGAGTCAGGTATAACTATATCAGTACCAGATCACATCCCTGCTTGTGTCAACCCTACGGTGGATGCAACTATAATGGCATCTTGTACTGGTATCATTGGGTGCATCTACATGTTCAATTGGTGTGCTTTAGCTAATGCACATTAAATCTAGTGCCCCCGGGTGCCTATACACGAGCTCAGAGGCTGCTCCAATGCACTGGGATTACTGTGCTCCAGCAGCTTCCTGGGTCTCATCTATTAGTGTCCTCATGCTTTAAAATGGTGGTGGGGGCACTTGAACTAAAGCTCGTCAAATGAGCATTAATGAGTTCAAGTGCCCCCACTGCCATTTTTAAGTGTGGTTACGCTGATACATGAGATGCGACAGCATTTTAATTAGAGCAGCTCCCAGAGCTGCTTTAATTGAAGCACTGCCCCTCACCCCCAGAGCATGTGTAAAAGTGCCCTTCATTGTGAGGTACTGGAAAAATGTGCGTTAGCTTATATTAATGTGCATTAGCTAAAAAGCACTTTTTAGATGCTTTAATGCGCATTAAAATAGGGTAATGTGCATTAAAGCATACGTGTAGACTTGTCCATTATATCAGTGTTTCATATTGTAATAGCTTACCAGAGCAAGCTCTACCAGACTGGCCATTTTTTCTACTG